TTTTGGCCGTCATTAAAATTTGTCCCAGAAATGGCCAAAGTTAACCAAGCTTTACGCTGCAGCCTTGGTTGAATCCCGCGCAGGAGCTATTACAGCGCAGCATCGCGACTCAGAAGTCAGTAGGAGCTTCTCGTATCTGAGGGCAGAATTTAGTGTCTTGTGCTATGCCAGGCTTGGTGTTGGGCTCGTTCCTAATCGTTGAGGAGGGTTCTGGTAGATGTCAAGTGAAGAGAAGAATAGAGCACGCATCCTCCGCCACTCAAGCCAGACAATGAAATTAGAAAATGGCACTGAGAGTTGATGTGAGAGAATTCCCCTGGATTCCTAGAGGAAGAATAAAACAAGAATGAATTGATTAAAAAAGAAAAGAAAATAAAAGGAGGGAGGGGGAAGGCAGAAAGGAAAAGAGGGAAAAGAAAATAAATTAGAGAAACCCTGCCAGAATCCTCCTCAGAACCTATCTAATAATAAACTCCGACATTAAAAGCTGTATTGTCTTTTTACATAAAGGCGCATGTACTTACTGTTTCGTCTTAGTTTCTGGTTCTGCATTTTACAAATCTCTTACTGAGCATTTTGCATGCATATGATGCTTGCAGCACTACCGGCTCTTATTTGAAGACTGTTTTCAGAAGTCATTATTGAACTATAGGATAAAAAGGTATAAGCGTAATTACGTGTTAAAGAGAATAAATATGTTCTGCTAGATAGTTAACCAGGTGAGGTTAAACAAGATAAGATGAATTCTGGTCTTTTTAGAAAACTGACAGTCTTCATTTTAAGCTACAATGTAAAGTGCTTTATCCTGAGATTAGGTATTGAGGCAGAAGCTAAAACTGCCTTTTTCCCCTAACCGTGCCAGAATACAACCTCCTTTTCTTTTTGCGCTAACAAGACTGCTTTACCACCACAGCCCACTCTAAGTAATTAAATCAATCCTTTGTACTTACCGTATTCTCCTCTAGTGACGGTACTAGATCTGATTATATGCTTCATGCATATTCAAAGTACGGCACTGACAGCTCTTTAATGAGCTCTTACTTAATCAGTACGAACAATGTTCATCTTGTTCTTTTTTTCCTCATACATTAGAGCTAGGAACAGTTGGGGAAAAAATGAAACATCCAGCATTCATTTGAAAAATATATTGTACTTTGAAAAGTGTCTAAGCTGGGGAAGTTGCATTCTGCCCTTTAAAAGTCTGATGGACAAATTGGATTACTAGTATTGGATTAAATAACAAATGGTTAGAGGAGAAATGAGAAAAGCTCGCTGTGATCACAGGCTTTAATATTTTTTGTTACTTATAAAGCTGAAGGGGTCTTTAGCCAGTTATTAAAGTCAGGATTAATTTGTAATGGTCCAACTTACTAGCTTTAAAAGGGTTTTGTTGTTGTTGTTGTTGTTTTTATTGAAAACAATAGTGTAATGCATGTATGATGGAAAAAATTTTAAGTTTAAGATCTGTGGGCTATTTATGGATTTTCATCGTCTTGTACCGGCTCAGATAAGGGGTTTGCATGTGTGGGATCGATTTGTTCTCAAACATGTTTTTCGCTTCGTTTAAATAATCTGTACAGTGTTGGTTCCCCCCCACCCCCACCCCCCGAGAACACCACAGATATTTCCCCAATTTTAATTTTCAAGCATTTGTAGCAAGTCAAGTAAATACTTGTTTTACACTTGGAAAGTGGAAACAAGACCAACCCCAGCAGCAGCAGGGTTTCACAGAGTGAAACGGTGTTGAAGAAAGGCTTTTTCTAAATTTTTTATTTAGAAATTGTGAGTTTAGCTTGCAACATTGCTGCAGTAACAACACTCAGTTTTTCTTTGTTGAAAGTGTTCGCGTGCATCCTTCCACCACGGGGAGGGGGGAACCCAGAAGTAATGCTTTAATGGTAGTGTATTTGCTGAAAAGAGTTATTTAAATTTCTTAGATGTGGGAGTTCATCTTTATTTTGCTTGCCTGGGAAGAATCTGTTTCAGCTCCATGTGCAAGAATTTAAAAGCTGAGGGTCAACAAATAAAATATCAGCATCAACTGCTATTAATATTGCAGACATGTGTCATTTCAGTGATCAAAAAGGCCTTCGCCAGGGTACAATTGGCCTTTTTCCAAATTGCAAGCTTTTTCTCAGCTTTTTCTTTTTTTACTCTTTCTTCTTTTGTTGCTGCCCGGGGATTTGTGCCTATCGCAGCCGATATCACATGACCGGTGTCAGGGCATCACATGGGTCCAAAGCGAATACAAAAACAGATTAAAAATTCTGTAAAAACAATCAAGACTTTGTTAACTCACTTTTAAACCAGCCTATTCTATGGATGTTGCGTGTGCTTTGGTGTCAGCGTGGAAATACCAAAATAGGCACCTGTTCGGATATCGGACTCAACAGCTCCAAGCTTTGCCTAGGTCCCTTCTCGTTATGTGTTGCAACTAACTTTATTGAGGAGGAACGCATTAATAGAAAGAAGTTTATATCTTAAGTTTACGTTCTTACCCTGAGCTTGCATGGCATGAAATTCAAGTTCAGATCTGCCATCAAGTCAAACTCCTTCGAAACATTTGTGTCTCCCGTTTCTTTCTCAAGGCTTGCAAAATGAAACGCAGCAAGAGCTTGCGTTTATAATGGCGTCTTTTAGCCAGAGACCCCAGACCACCCCAAACCCAACAAATTTAGTGTCATAAACTGATTAAAATGTTACCATAGCCACGTATGTCTGGTTGTGAGAACTTCTTTTCACCAGCGGTGTGGCAATCTTACGCATCACAGAATAGACTGTCATTTTGCAAGGATAAAAAAAGCAATCTATCCCCTTTTTCTTGCCCTGTCCCCTAAATAACTTTCAGCTGCTTGGTGCATTTCAACAAAAACTTGCTAACGTTGACTATCGTCATCGTCTGAAAGCAGACCCTGTTAGGTGGACCGATACAGCAAAGCCTTTGATCTGTAACTTAACAGCAAAGTATACCTGTAAGATTTTGTCCTCCTTGGGGGAGTGCTGAACTGCCGAGTGCTGTCCTAAGTGCCGTGCCGTAGTATTTTCTGCACAAAACCAGAAGTGGGGGTCTCGGGGGAGGGCATTTCTACCTGACAAATTTCTTCCGTCATTGCTCCGTCGTCCAGGAGCTGGACCCTGCTGCTTCTGCTTGGGAAAGGGCTGCAGGGCCATCCCCGCTCTGGGATGCTCTGCCCTTCCCGTCTCGCCGCTAGCAAGCCGGGTACCCGAAAAGCACCCTTCTAGGAACAGTTTCATCAGCCAGGAGCTTCCCAGGGTGATAAGTGGATATGGGGGGATGTCTCGCATCAGAAAGAAGAGCATGCCGAATGGCCTAACTTCTTCCTACTGTCCGGGTCCAGCAGCTCCACCCCAAGCTGACCCACCACCTCCCTGTTCACCTCCTTTTCCTTCCCTTGTGTGGATGCGCCAAGCCCACAGGCCACGGCAAGGGGGGTCAAACCGTTTGGAGAAGGCCGGTGACCTTCCCTCGCACGCAGCAGGGTCATAGCCGGGTGAGGAGGTGATTCTCCATGCAGATCTGGGCTTGCACACTACCACGGCGTTGGGGTGGGAACGTGTGCATGGCAGGCACGTACGTGCAAGCGTTTCAAGCGCTCCCATCCAGAAATTGAAAGCTTTCTTTTAGAGCAAAACAATATTTTTTCTGGTGTCTTTCCAGCTTCTGGCGCTGGAAATGGCTTCTCCGCAACTCGGGATCCTACGGTTTAAGTTAATAAGATAGCTTCCCCGAGTGTACAGCACCTTGCATCAGGGATTTCAAAACCCTTTACAAACATCAAAGAATTAACCTTTAGCACCCTTGCAAGATCGGTACGGCTGATTATCCCCATATTACACACAAGGTGCTTAAACTCGGAGATCTGCCCACAGTCTCCCGGTGAAGCAGTGTCGAAGCTGGGAGCAGTACTCAGAAGACCCAGCTCGTGCTCCTTTGCCGCTGTTCCAGGTTTCTTCCCAGATTAATTTTAACCCTAAGAAATGAGGACCATATAGCCTTTGCTCCTCAGCTCAACTTGAGAGATGAGAACGGCAGGTGACCACAGAGGCACAGTCTCCACTAAGGACTCTGATGAGGTTTCTCCTAGTCCCCGAGCTCAGAGAGAGTGCCTTGTGGCTGAGCGACCCTGCTGCCTGCCAAGGGCGGTCAGGAGCCTTCTGGAGGCTCGTCTGCCCTTGCCCCACGTGGCCTGGTGGTGCAGAGGTCTTACCGAGTCTGGTAGGGCATAGCACTGCTTGCAGGTAGGCTATGGAGGGTCCTGGTCCTGGTCCTGGTGCTGCCTGGGAGGCAGCGATGACATGGGCTGGGGAAAGGGGTGCTAGTCCATGCATACACCCACGGGGACCCTTAGGCACCCGGACCCCAAAGTGATTTGGATTTGTGCAGACGCTGCCTTGGGTTGGGGGTTGAGGAGAGGAGCAGCTCTCCCCAGCCCATCGTCGGGAAGAGTGGCCCTGAGCGCAGAGAAGCCCAGCAGGTGCCCGCGCCTTGGCCAGGGGTTCAGGATTGCCGTCTCCTCGGCGGCTGCTTTGATCCCTACCACGTCACCCGGGCTGCGCTGGGTTTGCTTGGGTGGAGTGGATCTTGCCCACAAGGATTGTTTTTGCGTTGGGAAGCCTGTGATGACCAGACATCTTTTAGCAGCAAGGTGTTTTTTTTTTTTCATTGGGAGCATCGCAACACTATAGTTCTTTCAGGAGAATTTAAAAGATACTTTTATAAAGGTGTTTTATTTAGGTCAGGGTATCAGCACGATAAAGAACACTAAAAGGTATGCTGAAGAACGGCTGGTCTCAAAGCTTTATTTATGAAGCAAGCAGAATTGGGCGGCAGGAGTTGTAGTCATATGATATTTTTACCGTTTGAGAGTACGCCTTGGAATGCTCAATGATCCTGGAGAGCGATGCTCCAAAACCTGAAAGGAAGTACATAGCTGAATTTGTGAAATGCCTCGCGAGTAATGAAATCCTTTCCATTGCAGGAAGAAACACAGAAGAAGAAGAAGCTATGATGCAGGAATGGTTCATGCTGGTTAATAAGAAGAATGCCTTAATAAGACGAATGAACCAGCTTTCTCTTCTGTAAGTACGGCTGGACACTTGTATTTACAACAGGGTCATTTACTGGAATATTTACCCATCGGATAGATGCAAAACTTTTTTGCTCTCTTCCCATTAGACTTCAAAAATATTCCCTCAAAAGTGAGTAGCGTGGATGCTTTGTGAAGCACATCGAGTAACTTGTTTTTCTCCTATTTTGAACTTCAATGAGAGAAGCGTGCAATGACACAAGATTAGCCAGAGCTGTGGGGAAAAAAAAAAAAAAAAAGAAATGTTAAGCACAGTTACGTTTTCAAAGGCCCGACGGTAGAATAAAATTACATTTTAGAAATGCGCAAATAGATTTGGATTGTGCCTCAGATGTGACGGGTGAAGACTATTCGGGGAGAGAGCAAAATCTGAGCCGCTGCCTGCTTTGTAGAAATCCTCAATCCCATCGCTAGTTCAGCAGCACCAGACTGCTGAAAGGGTATTAGTGAATCCGTCACAGTGCGATGATACCACCGATACTGCAAAGTAAGGACAAATAAACTTGTTCCCCAGCACTGGCGAGGAAGGGAGAAGATGCTTCTCGTTTTTAGAGGCGTTCTGGCCTCCGCGCTTCTTTTCCAGCTTCCTTTGGTTTGATTATATTTCTTTCAGTAATGCCACCACCTAGTGTAGATGCCTGCATACTTCCCTGGGAAGAGCCTGTGCTCACGCATTTCCTACCGTGTCTGAACTTGACAGAAGAGTCTGCCTTCAAAATATTAAGCTTTCTAATCCCGTGTCTAATTTTCATTATTCATTAGGGCAGAATGTATATAGGATAATACTTCTAGTGTCATATTATCTTGGTGAATAGACTGATGCTGGAATTTGTTCAGTAGATCCGGGGGAACGTTTTATACTTAGGCCATTCCACAACAGCTGCTGCAAGGACGAATATGAAATAATTACGTCCTGTAGCACAATAGAGTTAACCTGACGGAATTAGAGCCAACATTACGGAAAAGGAAAAGGCCCTGTGACTGAATATGCCACCTGATCAAGGTTTTAAGTTTGTGTATCATTTGTTTGGAGTAGCTTAAAGTTAAAGAGAAAAGTCGGTTACGAGTCCTAAAATCAATGTAAGTTAAAGGTTCTTTTAAGCATTTAATGATTTAGTAATTAACATATTGATGAACTTTTGCAACTTGCCTAGGGAAAAAGAACATGACCTAGAAAGGCGCTACGAACTGCTGAATTTTTTGCTAAGAGCAATGCTTGCTATTGAAGGTAAGAGCAATGCTGGGTGCCGAGGGAAGGAGAACGCTTGCCGCCAAAGGCGGCTACCTGAAAGTACCAAACACGGAGGCTTTTCTGAAGCCCGGTTAAGAATTTATGCTGATATTGACATCGTGTCACGTGGTAGCACACGGCAAATATGCTGGGTCCACGATCCCATTCTTAAGTTTTATTCGGGGGAAGTCCAAGATACAGGACAAAGAAGTATGGTCTCCTCGGAATAAACTTTGAAAACAAAGTGATGAGGAGGTAAAGAATATTTGTCCGGGGTTTATTATTTTGGGTTGCAGTAGTGCTCTCCTGGCTTTCCTGCGGCATCGCGCTGCTTTCGGTGCCACAGAAAGTGGAAGGGGTGCCCCACAGAGGGAAGGGAGCCTCCTCCCTTTTACCGCTTCCGATCTGTTTTACAACAGTATCTCACTGGGGGGAAAAAAAAAAAGTCTCATTGGTTTTGGTGGTAAAACACTACCTTTGCCAAGTAAATATTTCATCGCGAGCAACACCAGGATTAGTGCGATCCTGTGCACAGATTTCCTCCCTTCTCTGCAACCCTCCCGAGTTTAGTCACCTTACCTGAATGAAAACTCATGGGAAGATTGACACGCGGGATAAATGAAACAATTGCATCCTTTCCATAGGGCTTTCAAGTGAATTGTACAGTAATCCTGGGGATGATTCATAATAAAAAATAAACATCCAGATAGCTTAAACCATTCCTTGCATTATTTTCTTATTTAAATATCTTAAGTGTTTTCTAATGCTGCACCGCTTACACCTCTCAGTCACAAATGCTGTCTTATAGTTCAAAGATGTTTGCTTTAAAGTTAATCCTTTGGGCTCTGTAAAATGGACCTTTTGTCTAATCAATGCAAATTGATTTTGCTATTCTGTATTGACCTCTCAACCCTTTGACTGTCCATGGTAATTTCTTTCTTCACCTGATAAGGTACCTGATCCATAATAAATCAATTCTAATTAGTTTGGAGACTTCACTGGGAGCATAAGTTTGTAGGTAAAAAAGCAGCAGGTTTCAGGTAGCTTTTTCGTATCGCTCCATCTGTGGTTATATTTTTTGCATAAGACTACGTTCACTATATTCTTGAGTCATAAATATATACATTGCTTTCTGCAGAGACAAGCTAGATTAATTGGGAATCATACGGATGGCATATTTAAAACATAAGATACTCTAAAACCAGAGAGGGGAGCTAAGAGGTACTGGATTTAAATCCAAAACGTCAATGTTTAATTGCCTCTTGTATGTTTTACTGCCTTGGAACATCCTAGCAGCAGCCTTTGAATGTCCAGCAGCCTATGCTATTCACGCATTGACTTGAACAAAAATCTGTCCTTTTTAAATTTCTTTTTGTAAGTTCAGAGAGAGATGCCAAAACCCAAGAAAGTCCTGGTTTGTTTTTTCTTTTTTTTTTTTTTTTTTTTTTTTTGGTTTTTTTGTAGTAGAATAAAAGG